GGGCTCGCGGAGGGAGGCGCGCCTCTCGCGCGGAAGCCGCGGGCGCGGGGCTGGCGGCGCGCCCACCTGTCGCTCTCCGAGGGTCTCCCCCCCCCTCTCCGGGGTGGGCTTTGCCGGGCCCCCCCCCCAAGACCGACGCCCCCACCCAGGCTTGCCAGGCTTGGTCCCAGACTACCAGCGCGGGGCGCCTCTTCCCCAGCGCCTGGGTCTCCTTTTTTTACCCCGACTTCCTCCGGTTTCCTGGAAGACACGTGGGAGGTCGGTGTGCCGTGGAATCGGCCAGGCTCCAAGTAGCCCGCACTTTTTCTAGTCGCGGGTTCGCCCCTAAGCCCTCCTTTTTGAACGTTTAAACTCTTAAGTCTCGTGAGAACCACCCACGTTTCTTATGGAAAAGAGGATCGGGGCGGGCGAGATGGCTCTGCCGCCCAGAGTGAGCGCCCGCGCCCCATCCCCAGAACCCATATAGGGAAAGGAGAAAAACAACTCCCTTAAGTTGACCTCTGGGCTCGACGCACAATCAGGAAACCTAGTTGGCTTTTGCTTTTGTTTTTAAATACTTTTTCATTTACTGTTTGTGTGTGTGTGTGTGTGCGCGCGCGCGCGCGTGCGTTAGAGAGGTCAGAGGACAACTTGCCATAGTCGATTCTTTGCCACCATGCGGGTCCTTGGTATCAAACATCAAGCTTGGCAGCCAGCACCTTTTACCTGCTAAGCCAACATGCTGGCCCAGGAAACCTTTTGTATTAAACGGATAGTGTTAAGGTTAAAATAATAAGCTGGGCGGCGGTAGCTTAAACACGCCTTTAATCCCACCCAGCTCCCCGGGAGGCAGAGGCAGGTGGAGCTCTGTGAGTTCCAGGCCAGCCTGGTCTACAGAGCGAGATCCAGAACAGCCAAAGCTACACAAAGAAACCCTGTCTCAAAACAACAACAACAAAAAAGTTAAGGTTACAGTAAGATGGAACTTTAAATATCAAATAAGGGCAAAAGTAAACACAAGGTGGAAAAACAAGAAAATTAAAAGTTGCTACAACAGCGTATGATGATATACTGTTTCTACTTTGTAATTTAAAAAATTTTGAAGCCACCATCGAGACATGGTGCCTCACACCTATCCCAGGAATGATAACGCTGAGGAGGTAGAAGAATTGCCATAAATTCTAGGTCATCCTAGGCCTAGGCTAGAGCGTGTGTCATTATTTGACAAGTAATACACTTAATGTTTACTTCAGGCTGGATTCCCAGGCTGGCTTCGCATTCACTGTGTAGCTCAGGAAGATCTTGAAATTATTCTCCAGCCTCCATCTCCCAGGATAGTGGTTAGGGGTAGGATTACAGGTGTGACCCAGTGTACAGAACTAGCAGTGCTTGAAACCACACCAGGCGTTTTTTACTTGGGTGCTGACTGAAGATTCGAACTCTGGTACTTATGCTTGCAGAGCAAGAGCTTTTTATCCACTGAGCCATCTCCCCAGCCCCAATAATAAATTATTAAAGAATAATTATAGTATAAAACAGTTAACAGTAGGGGCTGGGGATTTAGCTCAGTGGAAGAGCGTTTGCCTAGCAAGCGCAAGGCCCTGGGTTCGGTCCTCAGCTGGGGGGGGGGGGGGGGACAGGACGGGACAGTTAACAATAGCCAGAACATAATCACTGATAGCGAGAATTTTAAACTTTGTATATCATGCTACCTTTTAAAAATAGGTCAATTTGGGGGCTGGTTGAGATGGCTCGGTGGTTAGAGCACTTGCCACCACCCCTGACTTGAATTCAATACTTGAAATCCACATGGTGGAAGGAGACCTTACCCCTACAAGTTGGCCTCTGAATTCCACTAGCGCGCGTGTGTGCACATACACACACACACACACCAAATAAAACGTTAATTTTAAAAAATTTAAGGTAGTGTATGCCCTTGACCCCAGCACTCGGGAGACACAAGCTGATGCATATCAGAGCCAGCCTGGTCTACATATCAAGCTCCAGGATAGCCAAGGTTACATAGTGACATCTTGTTTTTAAAAAAATAAAGGTAAGATAAGTTTTAATATAATCAAAACACTTCCAAGTAGTAACTATTTAATCAACTACTAAACCATACTACAGATGAAACATTTTATTTTCTTGATTCCTTCTGGGGAATAATTTTTAATTGAACTTTTTATTATCATATTAGTGGTACATAACAACCGGTCTCATTTTGACATTTTCAAATATGTACATAATATTTTTTCAACCATACTTACCCTTGGTTACCTTCTCTAATCCCCCTTTCACTGATTTCCTTTTGTCAGCTAGGCCCCCTTCTACTTTCTTGTTTTTTTGTTTTGTTTTGTTTTTGTTTTGTTTTGTTTGTAACACAGTGAGTTTCATTAGGATTGTTTACAGGAACATGGGCACCTTACCAGTAGCTATGACCCTTAAAACATGCCTCTCCTCCCCCTTTCAATTGTTAACTGCCTATAAATTTGGAAGGGGAGAGATACGTGAGCCCCTCTCCACCTCCATGGCAGGGTATTAGCAGACCCAATCTCATGTCGGTAATCACGACCGCTGGGAGTTCAAGTGTGCCATCAGCCATACCGGGAAGTCTGTCCCCTCTTCTCCCTCTCCTCAGGATCTTAGATTCTTTCATGATACTCTCCGGGATAGCCCTGGAGGAGGTAATATAGAAGTCCTGTTGATGGTTGGTACTCACAGTCATTATGAGACTCTGCAGCCACTGCAGATAGGAGCTTCTCTGACCAAAGCGGACAGCAGCACTACACTATGGACGTCAACAGTTATCTAGCAGGCAATTTGATAGGTACATCAGGTCTATTTAACAAAAGCACCAGCAGTAGCTTCCGCAGTGGGGCCCGTGACCTCCCCGGCCCTATCCTTTTGGCCAGGTTTACAGTATCAGGCAGGAATTCCCTCCTGTGCAGCAGGCATACATTCCACTCAGACAGTTGGTGACTCTCAGAATTGCCCCTGTGGCGCCAGTGGGCTCCTCTTGCCTGGCCAGTCAGTATTGTTGCACAAAGGATTCAGGGCTGAGTAAGATGTGGAGGACAATTCTCCCCCAACGTCCTACGAAGCTCTCCGTATTTGAGGGCTGGCCAGCAAGGAGGATGCTTCCTGCCTTGTTTCAATTGAATGTCCTTATGTACTGTGACCAAGATGTGTATGTATGCGGCATTTCCAGCAACTGAGTCTTACCAGCCACCATCTTACACCATCACAGCAGGGCTTCTGGTTCTTAACGACAACACAGTCACTTGATCAACCTTTCCCACCCCAGTCCCTCCTACTCTCCCAGTTTCCGGTCACGATAATTCTACTCTCCATGACTATGAATTCAACTTTTTACACTACATTTAGGAGAGTGGGATGAAGTGGTACTTGTTCTTCTGTGACTGGAATATTGGAAACAATTTTTTTCAGTAAAGCTTAAAGTCAGGAGTGGTGGCTAAAACTTGTAATTCCAGTACTTGGGCGGGTGAGGCAGGAGGATCACTACGAAGTCAAAGCCAATCTAGGCAACAGTGTCTCAAAAACAATAAAGAAAACTCAGCACGGTGGTGCAGGTGCATCCCTTTCATCACACACAGACACAGAAGAGGTAGATTTCTATGACTTCAAGGCCAGCTTGGTTTACATACAGAGTTCCAGCCAGGTCTATATAGTGAGGCTCTGTCTCAGGAAAAAAAAAATTAACACATTTCAATTTTGAAAAGAACATTCCCATTCAGTTAAATCGTTTATGAACAAACTAGCATGTGTGTATGTGTTTTGTTACTGTTGTTACCATTTTTATTCTTGCAGGACTGGGGATTGAATCCTGGACCCTGAACTGTGGTAGAACATGGTAGGCTAGCAGTCTACACTGAGCTATAAAATCTCCATAGTTGTCCAGACTGGCCTTGAACTTATAGCAACCTTTCTACCTCCTCCTCCCAATAACATTTGTGTTTATGAAACAAAATATTATATTTCTCTAGGGTACCATTTTATTAATTTACTTTAAACAGAGACAAATTAAATATAAACTAAAGAACCATAACAAACTAAAGAAAATTTGGAGACTAGATGCCTATAGTCCCAGCACTGGGGAGACCGAGGCAGGAAGGTGGTGTTGAATTGCCATCCTCTGCCTTAGTACAACAGGATTATGATACACCCAACTGAAGAGGCTTTTTAATGAACAAAAACAGTAAAAACTGAGACTCAACTTAACATTGCACAATGTACTTCTGTCCTTTTGGCTCTCTGGGCAGTACCACGGCAGTCAGCAAGAACAAATGCCCAATGAAAGGCAGCGAGAAGAGAGTG